ATATTTACTTTCAGATTTTCATAAAAAGCAGATTAAATAATTAAAATGTTTTGGTAGCTGTCTGATTTTATTTTTTTTTAATTTGTTATATATGTACAATTAACAGCAAAAATAGTGTCGCAGTTTTTTCTTAAAGAAAGAAGCAGGTGATTCGATAAAATATATAATATAATTTTTAATAGAAAACTTTACTGTTCAGTAATTTTTATTTGTCTTTACTTCTTTTTAATTTTCAAATAAATAAAAAAGTTTATAAAGTTGTTACTAGTTTTCACTTTTTTTGATGAAGTAGGTACAACAATAAAACTTAAAATATTTTTTATTGATATATTGCTGACGGTAAAAATGTCACCGATTTTGACATCAATATATCTATTTTCATTTTATTTTGCACAATCACTAGCAAAAGTAAAGTCAGAGTTTGTTAATTTCACCTGACTGTACACGCATATTATTTTGTTTTTTTATATTGTGTATTTTGAAATATATAAAAAATAATTTTTACGTAAAGACAGACAAAAAAAAGTATGACTAGCCGAGGCGAAGCCGAGGCTAGTAGTTACTCTCAGATTTGGATTAAATAATTAAAATGGTTAGATAGCCGCCAAATTTTATTTTTTTTTTAATTCTTTTATGTATACATTCAACAACAAAAGTAGAGTCGCAGTTTTTTTGTTAAAAAAAGAAGACAAGTGAGTCGATATATAATTTTTACTAGAAAACTTACTTACTTACAATCATTCGTTATTTACGATTTTTTTTTATTTTATTTTAACGTCAACGGCTCTATTTTGATGATTTTATTGTGTACAGTCACCAACAAAAATAGAATTAGAGCTCGTTAATTTTGTAGCTGACTGTGCACGTATATTATTTTATTAATTTAGAAATTTTGACACATTTATTTTGTTTTGTTTTGTGTATTTTCAAGTAACAAGAATGAAATTTAATAACTTTTCTTTTTTTTTTTAATTTTAAAATAAATAAAAAAGTTTTTAAAGTTGTTTTATAGTTTTCACTTTTTTGATCTAAGTAAAAATATTTTTTATTGATATATGTATTGCTGACGGTAAAAATATTACCGATTTTGATTTTATTGTGTACAGTCACTAGCAAAAGTAAAGTCAAAATGATGTGTGAATTTTGGAGCTGACTGTACAAGTATATTGTTTTATTATTTTTCAAATAGTGGTAAGTGTGTATATTGAAATATATGAATAATAATTTTTAAGTAAAAAAAAAGTAAAAGTAGTTACTCCAGACTTTTTTTTATAAGAAACAATCACATTTAATAACTAGAATGAGTGTGCTCTTAATTTTGTCCTGTCAGTACAATTATTTTGAAATATCTCATAGTTTTAAGAGAGAGAGATAAAAAGAAAGGTTTAACCGAGGCGAAGCCGAGGCTAGTAGCTATATTATATAATTTTTAAAATTTTTAGTTTGCTGCCAAATTTAAATTTTTTGTTTTTTTTTTTTCAAATTGAATTATTTATCACTGTCTACATTCTTGCACACATCATTGTTATTTATTCGAACATGATTGATACTCTCTAGCAACATCCTTGACGTATCAAAGGTCGTCCATCCGTTTCCGCACATACAGGGTGTATCACGAATTGATCTTTCCTCTCATTGTAAAAGAAATCACAATGATATATACGACTCGAGCGAATGGCTTTTTTCATTTCCAGACTTTATGAAACAGTTGTTTTTATCTCTTGGGGACGGTTGCGGCGACAAGACATTACGATAAATCAACGACGCCGCCACCGACGCGGAAAAAACGACACCAAAACGAAATCAACGCAGGTGGCTAATAAACAAAAGAAATTGCATTTTTTCTCACACACAAAAAAGGACGTCAAAACATCCACAGAATGTGTGATAATGATTAATGGAAGGATAAAAATAATCAGTGATAAGAGCGAAAACAAACATGTGTAAATATAAAATCAAATTTTTACAACTAGATAAAAATGATAACAATAACATCCTTTAAATTTCGCTTTTTCGTTGAAATCTGTAAAGATCCTCGATCAAGATTAAACGGTTTTTGAATAAAATTTGCGCAAATAACCCTAATTTAAAGCACGTCACTGCATTATAAATTCAGATTGTTGGTACACCTGCTAACGTCGAAAATTGCAAAGTAGAAGAAATTTTTGCGACTTGAAATATTTCACAATTACGTAAATCGAATCGAAGTAATTAATTATAGTTTGCCGTAATTGGCGAAAGAAATGCCGTTATTATCTCAATTCTTGTAATAATAATAACGAAATTATGCTCCGACTTAATCTTAAAATTGATACTGTATGCCTGTCGTCGGGTTTTTTCGCAATTAGCGCTTTTTAAATCGTCGCAATTAGCGTAATTTTGGATTTTTACGAGTGAGGAGACAAAAGAGCGAAACCATCTGTATCTTATTTTTGAAGAGAAAACTCGACATCGGCACACAATATAAGCACTCCTACACGACCTCATACGGTAAAAGAACCCAATTATACTTCCTCGTTCTAGCACTCCATAACCTTTGGAAATACGAGGTGTGACTTGAAACTGTTTTGTTTGAAAATCGCAAAAAGTCATGCCCTATGTTTACAGGAATTCCACTCCTCCTTCTTCCTGTCGCCCTTCTTCGTATGCCCATTTCCGCGGAAATCCTTTCCCTCAATTCCACTCATTTACATTCTTATAATATGTCATTTTATATTTTATTTCTTTTATTATTTGTTGCCGACTTGGAATTATTTAATACGAGGGGGAAAACCCACTATTAGTGCCACTGAAAAATGCAAAAATGCATGGAAAAAATTGCACGCTTTAGACGACAATCAACCCCAATCTGGGGTCACGTGACCAACAGATTTCTACGTTATCGGCATTTTCCTAACCAAATATTATATAATAAAGCTTAACTTGAAACTTAAACGAGGCGCAGCCGAGCCTGAGCTGCAACCTGTCAAATTAAGCAAACAAAAAGTTAGTTCTTATTCAAAAAAAAATTGTATACCGCAGTTGAATCTGTAAATTGGACTATAAAAAGTAAATAAAAGCAAACAGATTTCTGATTTATCAACTATTTAAATTCGTAGTCATTAAAAATGAAAAATAAACTAAAACTACTAACGACAATGAATAAATCTGACTTTCACGCTGAGTTGTTTGATGTTACTTGAGATTTTGATTTTTTATAGTCGAGGCGACGCCGAGTGAAAGCTACAATCTGTCAAATTAAAGAAAAACGAAAGACTTTTTAATAAATAATATCTTTTCTTAATTCATTTTTTGCTACAATTTGTCAAATTAAAGAAAAACGAGAGACTTTTTAATAAATAGTATCTCATTTTAATTAATTTGTTTTACAAAAATGTTTGATTTTTATGTAATTGAACCACAACCAAAAAAATTAGAAAATCAGGTTTCTTCTTTATCCACTATAAAAAAATCAGTCATTAAAAAACGCAAAATTACTAAGAAATTGATTGATAAAAGTTGATTTTTAAATCCAAATTGTAAATTTAAATTTGATTATGTAATAGTCGAGGCAAAGCCGAGCTATTGTAACGAAGTTCAAATAAAAATATTTTGAAAAATTCAAGAAAACTATAAAAGATAAGAGTTTTTAATTTTAACAAACAAAGTTGACTTTGACGACTACTTATAGAGTTATTTCATTTTTATTTTTAATAGTCGAGGCGAAACCGAGCTAAAACAACAAAAACACTATAAAAAATATTGTTTCTATTCTTTTCTTCTTCTTCTTTTTTCCTACTGGATAGTTCATATCTTTCCAGGGAAAATTTTTAAAAATGCCACAACTAAGGCAGAGCCGAGGCTATAAATTAAATCAAACAATAATTTGTTACTTTCTACCAAACTATAAATTGTTACTTCCAGACTTGGGCATTAAATAAAGTTAACTTTTTAGCCTATTTGGTTGTACTACAATTAAATGTTGATTTTGTAATAGCCGAGGCAAAGCCGAGCTATTGTGACGGATTTTCAAATAACAATATTTAAAAAAAAAAAAAAAAAAATTGACTTTTACTCTTATTTGTTGTTGTATTTAATAGGCGAGGCAAAGCCGAGCTTCAAATTTTTTTCGACCTTTCTTTGGTTTTTAATAACGGAGTCTAAGACGAGCTAAAACAGAAACAATGTAAAATAGTAATTTATTATACAAGACGATAAAAGTGAATTTTATCTTTGAGAGCAATTTAATAATATCCTGGAAAAGATAATGAAAATTTTATCATCGTGTACAATATAAAATTTTATTCCATTCTCACTAATTTTGTAGTCAATTTGGTCGATATTTATAAATGTCAAAGTAAAATTCAACAATGAAATCTAATGTCAAAGATCGTTAGCAACTAACAACCGCAGATATACAACAATGGATGTATTTGTTATCATCTAGACGATAAAATTTCATTTTAACATGAAGAAAAGACTAAATAAAATTCAATTTTAACATAGAGTATTGAATAAATGTTATTTTTTCTAAAATTCATCAATCGAGGCGAAGCCGAGGCTGTAAATTAAATCAAACAACATAAAATTATCATAGTTTTACTTAATTTAATGAAACCAATTTTTTTATTACACGTTGTCTTTAAGTGTTTTTTATTATTTTTGTGTCTATTTTACGATTTTCCTAGCCGTCTGGCAGAATAAATCGTCGTCTTTTTTCGATCCCCGAAAGTGGCTCGTCGCGTAAATCGCCCCTACCCCCAAATGAAATATTAAAACTGAAGCATTATTTTAATAATGACGAATTAAAACGGCAGGTAAGCGTCGAAATCTTAGAAAGCTGTGATTAAAAACGAGAGGGCAAAACGAAAAACGGAAAAGACGGGGTTAAAAAGTTGGAAAGAAATTAAAAGGGATAGTCTCGGCGCCGCGACAGGACCGTACTCGACACAATTTTCACAACACAAGCACATTTTTTCGTTTCATTTTTATTGTATTTAGAAAAAAACGGATTTTTACAGATTTTCATGCACAAATCGGCGATGCAAATGCATGCGAGGGAGTTGACGGGACGCTCAGAAGTCAAACCACATCAGTGCCAGCAATGTCTAAAGTCTTTCAGCAGCAATCATCAGTTAGTCCAACATATCAGGGTTCACACGGGAGAAAAACCCTACAAATGTTCCTATTGCGACAGGAGGTTCAAGCAGTTGAGTCACGTGCAACAACACACGAGGCTACACACGGGTAAGCACCACAAAAACTAACTATATACACGCCAACACCTAGAGATATTTGGTTTTAGCCAACATTAAAACTTAACAGCCTAAACTATTCCTGCAGTTTTTGAAAATTCTGTAAAATGGCAAGACAAATGCTTTTTGAAACAAATCCTGCAATTCCTGAAAAACTTAATTAAGAATTTAAGTTCCTGCAAAACTAGAAGCTTTAGCAGGAATTTTGCAACTTTAAAAAGTTCCCAAAAACGTTAATTCCTGCTGTCGATAATTTTTTAAAACTAAGAGGAAAAGTTCTGATACATTTTTTTATACGAGGATTAGAGTTGGGTTAAAATTAAAATTTTTACCAATTATACCCAAGTCGCAAACCTTTTGCCAAGAATATTTATTTTTGACCAACATTAAAACTTAAAAACTTAAACTAATTAATAGAATTCCTGCAGTTGCTTTTTGAAACAAATCCTGCAATTTTTGAAAAACTAAACTTTGAATTTGTGTTCCTGCAAAACTACTAGCTTTAGCAGTAGCAACTTTAAAAAGTTCCCAAAAACGATAATTCCTGCTGTCGGTAATTCTTTAAAACTAAGAGAAAAAGTTCTGAAACATTTTTTATACGAGGATTAGAGTTGGGTTAAAATTAAAATTTTAGCCAACTCTACTTAAGTCGCAAACCTTTTGCTAGGAATATTTATTTTTAACCAACATTAAAACTTAAAAACTTAAACTAATTAACAGAATTCCTGCAGTTGCTTTTTGAAACAAATCCCGCAATTTCTGAAAAATTGAACTAAGAATTTGTGCTCGTTTAGCAGGAAGTCTGCAAACTATACAACAACTTTAAAAAGCTCCCAAAAACGTTAATTCCTGCTGTCGGTAATTCTTCAAAACTAAGAGGAAAAGTTGTGAAACATTTTTTATACAAGGATTAGAGTTGGGTTTAAATTAAAATTTTAGCCATTTATACCCAAGTCGCAAACCTTTTGCTAGGAATATTTATTTTTAACCAACATTAAAACTTAAAAACATAAACTAATTAATAGAATTCCAGCAGTTGCTTTTTGAAACAAATCCCGCAATTTCTGAAAAATTGAACTAAGAATTTGTGCTCGTTTAGCAGGAATTCTGCAAACTATACAACAACTTTAAAAAGCTCCCAAAAACGTTAATTCCTGCTGTCGGTAATTTTTTTAAACTAACAGGAAAAAGTGCTGAAACTTTTTTTCCTGCGAGGATTAGAGTTGGGTTAAAATTTGTTTCTTGGGCTGCTTGATTTGGTCAAAATGCGCCCCTTATTAGGCATTGATTTGAAATAAGCATCCCTTGAATGGACAAATGAAATATTTTTGTAGAGTGCAATCGTTCAATAAGTTCGCGTCGACTTTTCGCTCTAATTACACGATAAATATTTTATTTGGTCGATTGTGGGTCAGTTTTAATCTTATTGTTTTTCTCTTGTAATTATATCGAGTTCAAAGGGCCCACCCTTTTAATAATATTTAGTTGAAAAAAAACCTTTTCTCTTCGACTCTTCAGTCATAATTAAAAATCGATCTGGGGCACATTTTTTCCGACTTGGAAATAGGGCAATGAGACAAGTCGCCCCTTCGCCGACTTAAAGGGTTAAAAAATGAGGGGATTTTTCCCTAGTCGTTAAAGGGGTGCAATTTTTATTTCACATTTCGGCCACTATAGTTAATATTCGGTGCAGTCGCTCGTCTATTATAAAAAAAATTCAAATGTGCTCTCCACCAATATATCAAATTAGTGCAAAAGCTCGCTTAATGACCGGAAAACGGCCGAGAAATTTTAAAAAGCTCGCAAGAAAAGAAAAGCGCGTAATCGGCTTAAGCTCCCAAAGTTCGAGCTTCCGATCGGATTCTTGCAACCGAACCGGTTAATCCGGTTTGAAAAAGCTCAAAAATCGCAAACAAATTAACAATTTGCCATTACGGGCCATATTTCCATAGCTTGCTCATTTAAATTAAAGGTAATGGGAATAGGCGCACCGACAAGCGATTTTCACACTTAACGTCAAACTATCGGAATGGACCATTGGGTTTTTGGGGGGAAAATAGGACGAGGTGACGGAATAATCACGTGGACGGCTACAGTGCACACGTATCGAACTGAAACTGCATCACCAAACACACATTATATTTTCTGATCGATTTGCAGGGATTGTTAGGGGGGAAAAATGAGATTTCTCTACACAGAGGGACGATGTTAATAAAACAAACCTAAAAAAATTGTTGTTTTATGATTTCAGACGACTGAAATATTGGCTCAGCGTGACTGGGTGTCGTTTAAGTTGACTCGAGTCGTAATTTTTGAGGCTTTTTGTTACACTGTCGTTTACATTTTTACAAAATTCCTGCTGGAGGGTACAAAATTTCAGACACAATTGTAACGACATTCCTGCTAAAACACAGCACTTATTTATTTATTGTCGATTTTCATGTAAGTACAGCAGGAATATTATTTTATGAAATTTATTTTTACAGAATCTTTACGTTGACTATAATTACCTGTTGCAAGATAATGTCTTTATTTTATTTCTCAAGTCTGCTTATAAGATAAATACCACTCCTGCTAATATTAGTTTGAAAAATATATGAAAAAACTGCTTTACTCATTTTAGACAATAAGTCTGCAGGAAAATAAACTTTTTAACTTTTTAGTTTTGCAAAACATCAAGGAAGTATTTTAAAATTACAGGATTTTTTAAGCTAATAGTTTACAGGTATCGTCATTATATCAATCCTGTAAAGTCTTCCTCGGCAGGAATACAATTATTCTATCTAGATAGTTACAGTTGCAGGATTTTCTGACAGAGAATACACGATTTTTGCAGGAGGATAAAATACATTTTTGAGTTGTAAACAGAAATAAATGTTAGATTTTCGAAAAAGCTTTTGATTATAAATAAACAGGATATAATATAAAATACTAAGGGTATTTGAAATTTTGCAGGAAACACTATAAATTTTTAGTTTAAACTAAAAGAACAACCAGAAACATTAAACTAATTTATAGTTTTTGCAACTTTTTGTATTAAAAATGTATAAAATTTGTTTCCTGCTGAAGGAAAATTACTAATTTTTAACAGTAGTAATTATATACTTCTGCTGATATCACAGTTTAACTGTTTTTATTCTTTGAGAGAACGATATTTTGATTGCTGTTGCAGGAGAATAAACAAGATTCCTATTTCGTTTGTAGTTACACAGCAGGAATAATTTTCTTTAAAAAAACTTTGGAAACAATAATGTTAATTCTGTAGGAGATTTTTGTAGGAATATGAAAGGTTTTTTTATGTTTTGTAATCATAGTAGAAATAAATCACCTTAGCAGGATTTTTGAAAAAGTTTTTTAGTGATTATAAACAAACGCAATATGTTTGAAATTTTGCAGGAAACAAGACAAATTTTTATTTTAAATTAAAAGAATAACAAAAACATGAAAATTATTATTTAGTTTTACAGTTCTTTTTTAAATTAAATGTATAAAATTAGTTTTCTTATTTTTTACAACAGTCATATTACTCCTGCTGAAAGGATTTCAAAACTGCTTGTATCACTTTAGAGAACAATATTTTAATTTCTGTAGCAGGAGAATTAACCGCTTCCTGCTTTGTTTGCAGTTACAGCAAGAATATTTTTCTAAAATAAATGTTAATTCTATAAAGGCTTTTTTGCAGGAAGATTTTTTCACCTGTAAAAGTTACAGTTGCTGGATTTCTTGTGAAACGTTGTCTTTGAACAACTGTTTTCTATAATTTTTGGATAGTTTTTCAGGATTATGCTCTAATTGTAGGATTTATTGAAAGAATTACAAATAATAATAACAACTTTGGTAAAAATAGTGTCAACTTTTGAAAAAATACAGTTTTATCCTCTGAAATTACGTTGCAGGATTTCCTTTCCTGAAAAAACTTCGTTTGAAACTTCTGCAACTATTTTAATTTTAGGGTGGTTTTTGCAGGATTATGAAACGCTCTTTCATGTTTTGTGATTATAATCACAGCAGGAATAAATTTTTTGGTGAATCACCGCAGCAGGATTTTTTCAGCGATTATAAACAAGCAGGAAATATTTTCAATGATTACCCCTTGTCTTCATTATGTTGATTCAATTGATGCTTTCAGTGCAATTTCAGTGCTTCCAGTAATAGTTTCAGATTACACGCCTGTAAATGTTTAAAACGAATCGATTCCTGAATCGCTTCGACCATCAGAAAAAATATTTTTTCAACATGTCTACCAGACACTGACTGTATTCATTTCCCGTCACCCCTCATTGGAAAAAATAAAGAAAACTCAGGCCACAATTTCACCCCTTGAATCGGTCATCAAAGCTCGATTTCCCCAACCCCCCGACTTTAAGTGGCACTTTTGACTAGTTTTCAGGAAGCGATTTGTATTCATCGCCTCGACTATAATTTTCTCGGAAAACTCATTCCGATTGCGCTTATTTATACCAATTCCCTTATTTTTTCCCACCCCATGGAAAAATATTTTTTCGCTTACGTCAACGGTTGACGTGGCCCCAAAACCAGCGCGAAACATATATCGAAATCGGCACAATACTGTGTTCCGTTAGTACATAGGCAAAGCACCGCCCTCTAGATATATCACATGTCCGTCCCCCGCCCCCCCGCATTGCATTTTCCACCCCCTCTTTACCACATGCATGGTCGAACCCTATGCACACATTCGCAATTGCACCGGCCGCCATTTTGAATAATGGCAAAATTACGGAAAAATTCCAACGCACGATTGATCGAGAGACAGACAGTCGTTGAAACGAATTTTCCAAAGGGTTGATTCAACCCTTCAAGAAATTCATATGAATTTATTGTTGTGGTTGGAGTAAATGGCGCGAGAATTATTACAAGGGGTTGGGTTTTTTTTTGGCAAAAAATTCGATTTTGAGGAAGGGTGGAAAATGCGCTAATTTTTACCGAGTTCTTATTTAAAGCGAGAAGGGTTGAGGAAAATTAAAAAAGCCA